GGAATTTTTAGGGTCCCGGATTTAGTATTTATTATCAGGGGGGGGGGTTTATTAATACGAGGAAGGGATTAATAACCCCTGTAACCCATGTCATAATCCGAATTACCCCCATCACGAACCTATATTAACCTACATGCTTACTAAGTCCCCCTGACCCTCCAAGTAGTGTTTAGGGTTTAGGGTAGGGTTCCTTTTCTTGGATCAACTCTTGGAAGCTGCTAGTACCAGAAATCCCTGAACCCTGATAAGAGTCACTGAAACCCTTTATCATATGCTAGTACTTCTTGTGAGTATTCCTCCAGGTAAGGCTAAACCCTAAGCCCTACCTAGACCCTCCAATGTAGTTCCTTTTTTGGGTTTGGTATGGATTTTAGGTTAGGACTCTTATTAGAATTGCCAACCAGGTACTACATGGGAGGGTCCAGGTAAACCCTATATCCCCAGGCGGCCAACAACTCCTTTCTGATCCTCTATCTGTTCGAGTTTGGCTTGAGGCTCATCGACGCTGTTTGCTTAGGGCTTCGGCATGCATATGAGTAAAGACGGGCGTACACCCAAATGGTAACTGCGTAGAAGGCAATGTAGATTCAAACTCGGTGATAACTGGGTCGCTGGTACCTAACCCATGTCATGGTTTATAGATTTTGCTGGTACCACATCATGATTGCTAGTTGTCTAGCTGCTCTTACTGGAAAAGCTCCTTTGCAGTAATGATCAGGATGGTGTCATTCTGCAGCAACAGAAATATTGTCAACCTGCCCGGCAGGTTTGTCACATATCGTTTTGGAATTTTCCAAGACGCGCTCACCATGCTGGACGCGGGCTGCGGGTACGGGAGAATCACGTGCGCTCATGAGGCAGCAGATGGCAGCAGCGGTGGGCAGACTGTGTCAGAAAAATGCTATGAGAAGTTCATTAAAGAGCCACCCAAGTAATACCTGCAGCTTTCTGTATTCATTCATGCGCCAGTCCTGAGTATGGTCGTCTTGCCAGAAAATCTAGGGTACAGCGTCACATGGGAGATTTAAAGCGACCGCATAGAAGCGCATTTGGGGGTACGCCTGTTTCGAGACACTCAAAGCCCCAAACCCTAAACCCAAATCCCTAAGCCTACATATTCTCGTAAACCTTAAGCCCCAAAGCAGGAGGCTACATATTCTCCTGAGCCCTAATCCCTAAGCCTACATATGCTCCTAAACCTTAGCCCCTAAGCCTACGTATTCCCCTAAGCCCTAAAACTTTCTGGTTTCTTAGTAGGGAATGGAGAATGTAATCCCTATATAACCCCTCTATGATATGTTCACATATTCCCTACCCCGAACTAAAAAACCTTAACCACCAGCAAGTAAAACTCCAGGACTTGATCCTCATCATGCTGGTCTTCGTGGAGGAGTTCGCCTTCACCGGCAACCTGGCAAGGCTGGGGCTTACCTGGAAAATCCCATACTTTAGGGTTTAGGGTTTGGGGTGGAGGGTTTTGGGGGAGGGGACTTGGTAAGTTGGATTTTCCATGGGAAAACTGGCGTTATTGTTGCTTCAGGGCTTTTAGGGGTTGTAAGCATATGTGCTGAGTGTGCCTGATCCTCCAAGTTGTGGTTTAGAGTGGGCTCAGGGAGTAGACCTGAGTCTGGAATGAGGGAGGGTTCTAAAACGATTGGTTGTCCCACCGGACTGACGAGACACAAATGGTAGTTTCCCAAAAGTAGGAGAGGCCAATATGGACCCCAGTATATAATAATCCCTATTAAACGGATCCCCCAAACATGTACCCTAATTTTTGGGGGACCCCCAAATGCGTTAAGCCTTTCGGGTAGAGTAGTACACTAGGTAGGGACACTTGAGTCCTCAACATCGCCAGTTCTCCACTCCCATGGGTCCTTGTGGTTTAGGGTTTTGGGGCGTTGCCTGTAGCTGGCAGTTTCTTGAAATTTCTTGTTCTGGGTCCAAGTTTCCCCAAGAAAGAACCATCTCTTCGGCGGGGTCTTGATTTTAACGCCGCAAACAACTCGACGGTTCTAAATGATGAGATTTCACAAGGGGTCCACCACTTAAGTTTGAGAAACGTTGTTTGTGGGGAGGGGGTTGTTATAAGTCCGCTTGGATGAAAGTCTGCTCAAGTCAGAATCACTTGAATAGTCATCCCCATACACACTCCGCCTTGGGTTTTTCCACGCATCTCGCAAACAACTTGCCTGCCCGATTTTGGGCGTCTTTTGACTTCTTCACCTTTCCTTCATGGCACTCGTTTTTCTGCGGCTCCCCTATACCCCAGACCCCAAACAGTTTGACATCAGGGCGAACAACATGCGAAACTCAGAGAGACTCTGAACTATCCGCCGTCCGGATGTTACCTCTAAAATCCTTTTGGTAGTTTCCATAAAAAAGATTACTCAAAAAAGGTGACCCCAATGTAGACTCCAACATACTGTACTCCCACAAGGACCCTTTACTACCCCAAAGGTGGACGAGCCCTCTCTGCGTGTTTGCATCAGGTCTCTACCGGCTTTTCGCCTCCTCCGATTGCTGAGGCGACTCAAGTGAATCGGGTTCACGGGGTGAGGGTCTAGGCTACAGCAAAAAAGGTTTTCAGGATTGAGTTCAGGAAGTTTCAGGGTTGAGGCACTTCTAGACTTGACATCAAGAGCGGGCGCTTTAGGTTGGAATTGGGCAGTGGATCCTTTTAATGACCTCAGCTAGATTCTTTATACCAGGAAGTACTGTACCCTAGCTCAGGCTCTCGCTAACCTAACTACGATCATCCCTTGTGGTCACTATTAGCTGGGAGGCCTAGCCCAATCACTTCTCAGTCCACCGCTGCCTCTTAAGGTTTAGGATTTAGGTATCTAGACCCGTAAACCCTCAACCCCTAAACCCTATAAATTGCATTTATCCATATACATATACATGTATATTGGTACATATATATTTATATATGTCTATATCCCCTGCATATGCCCTATAAACCCTAGAAAGCTATGGCCCCCCATATCCAAAACAGTTTAAGGCTGGCCCGTGCTGCACGATACGTGGGGGCCGCTTCGCCGCAGCTCCTGGCATTCGTCTCGAATGCGACGAGGACTATGAAAACTTTAGGCGCCTTGGGATGCGCTGCAAGATGTATACAGAAGTCCTAGCTCAGAGTCTTGTCAACCCAGATGGAGCATCCAATGCCCCCCTCATGGTTAGATGGTGCCAGAAACTGGCATGAACATGCCATTGAGGGTTCGGAGCCCTAAAAGTAGAAGACCATATGAGCCCTAGTCTAAACTCCTAGTATGCCCCTTGATAATTTCTATAGTAGTCACCATGTAATCCCTACATAACCCCCTTTAAGGAGTTTAGACTATAGCTTCTATAAAATTCCTCAGCAGCCAGCTGTAATCATCCTGCCAGGTTGGGTGACCCTCTTCTTGTTTGCTTTCCTTTGGAGCACAGCAGCCTGCGCGCCGCCCTGCCGTGCTTCTATCCCACCGGGGATATATTAGTGCTAAAGTCAAAACTCCTTAACGGGGGGCTATATAGGGGGACTACGATATGGGGTTACTAAGGGGGATACTAGGAGTTTAGACTATAGCTGATATGGGATTATATGGGATTTAGATTTTAGGGCTATACAAGGCCTTTATGGGGACATGTAACCACAGCAATGCAGAATCAAATCAAAAAGAACATGAACATGTACCAGTTTATAGGTGCTTACCGGGAGGCTCTCTTGATTTAGTAAGTCTACTTTGTTTATGATAGGGGTTGTTGGGGATAGTATGTAAAGATCCAAAGTCAAAAGATCATCCAAGTAGTTCTCAGATCAGTCAGCTTCAGTTCAGAAATGCTGGTACTGGAAATTCTTAAATTGATGGAACTAACCCTGCCTGAAGTCGTACTGGTATCGGAAGCTTTGATTTATGAGGGGTGGGATTTCAGTCTTAGGGGGGGAGGGAAGGAGTGCTTCCACCATTCCCGCAGTCCCAACCAAGCGTGAGTAGACCCTAAACCTAAACCCAAAGCCCAGAACCAAGCCGAACCCATTGCCAGGCATTACGTCATCGGTCAGTCACCAGTTTGGAATGATACTTACGATCCCTGGCAGGACGCCCTGCTACGTGTCTCATACGGCAGCAGACCATCTGATGCACTCTACGATGTCATCTTCTGCAGTGATCCTCGTCAGGAGTACGAGCCGTTCGAGGCATTTGACAACCGCCAGTACTTCGGAACTGTTGTGCGGACTTTCCTCACTCTCTTTCAGGTGCGCCGGGTTGTAACAGCACTGAAATTTCATTGTCCTGCCATTTGTCTGTGGATGAGAGCGATGCAGCATTTGCACGTTTCAAAGCATCAGGGTTCTGCACAAGTTTGTATATCTCAAAGCCTGACCCCCCAATAAAGCCTGGGAGGTCATCACCAACTCGCAATGGGCCAACCATGTAGCGCGACCCGTCGTCTTCCGGCAACTCTTCCCAGAAGGCTCCCGTGGCTTCCCCAAGCAATCACGGACCCCATGGAAAGCCTCTAAAGAAGGACCGCTGTCTTCACGGGGCACCTTATGCGGTCCCATGACAGGTTGGCAAAGGTGTAGTCACTCCCCCCAAACATGAAGCAAAGTCTTTTCCCGTTGGTGACACTGTTGTAGGGGTAGTTTTAGAAGTAGGGACTGCAAGGTGCTAAATCTTAAGGTATGCCTTTGTGTGCGCATTGGCTTCTTGTGTGGCATCTGGTAGCTGAGGTATCCACCCATTGCTGGATTTCTTGGATTCTTCCTGCTTATCACGACATTTGGTCTGCTGTCTTCAGTGCCTCTGGTTGAAGACCCTGTGACCATGATATAGTCCCCTTAAGTAGATAGAATATGGCTTGGGGTATATTATAATAAGATCCCCATATATCCCATATTCTATCTACTTGAGGGGGGCTATATTCTGAGCTTGAGCAAGTACGGTGAGACGGTAGCATTTTTGCAGAGTCGGTTTGTTGGGTGCGATGGCCTCGCTATCATTGGCAAAAGCTGTTTGCATTGCCCGCAACAATCCACAACAATTTTGATGAACAGTGGAACATTGGCCAGTGGTGGTATACCGCTAGTTATCATCCTCTTTCGGTAGATGTATGCCTAAGGTGGTGGCCAATATCGTGCAGGCTGGATGCTGTGCATCACCATCGGTTGGCGGAGAAAAAACGTTGATTGCAGTTTTAGGATCATATAGGTGTTTCTCAACGTAACTTTGAATGGAGACCACTCGAATTTCAATGTACACCCCCTATATCCTCAGTGCCCCCAATGGCATTGGTTTGAGAAGCTACCTGTGTCCTTCATTCCACCCCAGATTTTACGTGATCCCAGCACCCACCACTGCGTGCAAAGAAGGAAAAATCAGGGCTTGCCTGAGGTGATCACTGTCATCTCTGGTGGTTTTGAATTATGTGGCGGTCCTGGCTACCCAGGGGATCCATATGGTCCAAAGCCCGAACCGTTTGAGCGCAAAACCTTAAACCCTAAGCCCTTAAGCCCGCCAAGCCCTTTGGGATCTTTTGGGTATAGTGGGTCTGCCGGGTTGATGTTTAATTCCAGGGTTACGGGTTTTAGGCTCAAACCCTAAACCCTTGAAACGCAAGTGGCAAAACCCTAAAACCTTGAACCCTAAGCCCTCAAACTCTAAACCCTCGAACCCTAAGCTCTTAAACCTTAAACCCTGAAGCCATAAACCCTCAGCCCTCAAACCCTTCAAAGCTTGAATGTTGGGTAGGACGCCATTGAGACTTCTAGGATCCTCGAGGCTTCAACCCGAGAGGCAGGTGGCAGTTGCTGTAAAAGGGTAACGGTTCCTTTTAAGGGGCTGATAGGGTTTTAGGGTTATAAAGGTGTATATATAGGAATATTTGGAGTTAAGGGTTCGTTGATTCAGGAGGGTTTGGGGTAGAGGGTTTAGGGTTTAGGGACAGGGATATAAAGGGGTGTGTAGGAATATCTGGACTTAGGAGTTCCTTGAAACGGGATAGCCTAGGGGCCTCAATTGTTATCTATGTTATGGTCCTGGATTCCTTGGATGATTAGAGGGCACCTCAAATAGACCTCAATCATGATGTTGGCAATGAAGGCCTCGCGGTTTAGGGTTTAGGGTAAAGGGTTTAGGGTTTACTGCAGGGAGACGTAGGTGTGTAGAATGTAGAGAGTGAGAGTTTTGCGTTGCAGGTTCCCGCTTCCCAGTATCAGGGGTCCTTTCTTGTGAGCCCCTCTAGACTCCTAGGCTCGTAGGCCTAAATCCTAAACCACCAAAAAAAACAAGACAACTAAACTCTGATTTCTTCATTTTGGGATAAGAGGGAGACCTCTTTTTCTTAATGATACTCCAAAGCAGAACGGAATTTGTACATATGCCTGGAAACAGGGTTTTCCCAACACTCCTTTGGGCGTGGAGGGGGGGCATGATCTCACAAAGGCGTATATCATAGAGTCGCATCGCAAGATAAATTGACCAGAGATTCTTACAAGCAGATCCTACAAAATCACGAAGAGGGATTCTCGCAATCCCTCGACAATCTGTGTGCTTCCTTGCAGTCCCCAAGGGCGCCATCACTTCGAGAATCCCGCAACCCGAAACTGCTGGGTCTATGGGTCCTTGTGTTGTCCGCTGCATGTTGCGCAGACAGGTTGATAGAGCATTTGGATTCTGAAGCATGCGCGAGCCAGTCCAAGCACGCTCTCTGGGCATTTGCTTCGGCTAGTTGTTTAGTCCACGAGCTGCTATGACCGAACTTCAATCCTTTGACCTGGATGCCCTGAAACAGATTTTCTTTGGCCATTTTCCTTGTACCACTGTCACTGGTAAAGTCCTATCCCTGCAATCCCGATAGTTTGAATTGGCTGTGCGCGACTGCGCGACAGGGAGAGGAAAGCACTCTACAACCCGAACCGTATCCTATACCCTGATGTATTCTCCCCACAAAAGAAAACAGTCGCGCGAGGTTGAGCGCGAGAACAGGCAGCAGATGGGCATGCGTGCCCGGTTGCTGCTGCGGCTGATGGATGATGCCGCCTGCTGCATTTTGCAAGTTTCCAAACATTGGTGGCCTCGGATTTCACTGGGTGATAAGGGTTGATATAGAAATTTACACAGATAGGTGGGGCTTAGAGGTTCCAACAGTTTGGGGTCCCTCTGTGGGTGTCCTGTAATGAAGATCAAACCAGTTTGTAGCATGCAAGGGGGATCTGAACTTTTGGAAACAACCATCTTGGTCTGAGGCAAAAGCAAAATTACCAAGAGTGCCCGTGGTTTAGGATTTAGCTCATAATGAAGAAGCAGCTACCCAAGTCATAATCTACCGGTCTTCAAGGTGTATGTGTTAAGGTGGCCCCCATACTCACTACTAGTGACCACGCAGGATACTGGTAACCGTATTTGGGTCCGTCCCAGTGGACGAACGTCTGAGGGAATAAGGGAAACTCTTATAGAGGGTCATATAGGGACTGCTGTAGGGCTCCATTTTCTGTTTCCCTTCCCAGGTACTCGTAGCTAGCATATGTGCATATCTGTGTATTGTCAGCTTTGTGGATTTCATTGTTGTTTGCCCCTGCTATGACTTGATCCCGTCTGCTGCTACTCAGTCCCAGGATTGCCATTCTTCATGATGTGTCGCTGCTCTCAGGGCTTAAAGAAGACTCCCCCCATCCCCCGCTGTCTGAAAATCACCCCCCCCATATACAGCGCGAGTATAGACTAGGGGAATATTCATGATTGGGGGAGTTAGGGGTTCATTAGGGCAGGGAGGTGTTCAGGCGCTTCAGGTTTGATACCTTTCTTGCATGCCGAGCTTAAGAGAGAGTAGCCAGGTGAAAAGATGATGTGCCCTCACCCCTAAAGCAGTAAGAGATTGTATATATGGGAATATGTAGTCAGGGAAGACTGGAGAGTCAAATGAGCAGTCGTGCTTTGCTGGTGGGGAAGAGGGTGGCCCGACCCCTGTAAGCTGTTTCTCAAACAGGCGCCCCATTTGCTATAGCCAGCACGGCACTCGCATTTTCACAGGTCGCCTCCCACACACGTATGTAATCCCATAGTCCTGATAAAACCCTATATATGGTCCCCCTTAAGTAGATAGAATGTGGCTTTGAGTATATAATAATATGATCCCCATATACCCAATATTCTATCTACTTAAGGGGGACTATAACCCTATATAGCCATTAGGTTCCAAAACCCTAAACCCAGGAATTAGCCTTGGTGATCTCATGGCATCTTGTACTAGCCGCACCCTAACACCCCCAACCCAAATAAGATCCAACTACGGCCGCGTAGTTATATTAGGGGTTGTTTAGTTGTTTAGGGCTCAATTTAGGCCTTATATAAGCTGAAGTCTAAAATCCAAGTATCCTCCTGAATAACCCGTGTAATGGTCCCCCATATAACCCCTTTGAGGAGACTATAGCTCATATGGAGGTGGCGGGTGCTAGGGCCAGCAGGGTCCTGTGATAAGGATGGTGACGGTCAGCTGGATGAGCGCGAGATTGAATCAGCTCTGAAGAACGAGGCCGGCAACAACCTATTGGTATTTCAGGGGGAGTGGCGGGGGGAGGGGGTTGAATATAGGTGCCATTATAAAGGTAGCTTTGGGAATATAGCGGGATCCACTCCCTCACTCGCCTTCAAGCACAAGTACGTCCAGGGCGTTGATGTGGTTTGTGTGGGGATATTACTAGTAACCTTCACAATGGAGAATCCAATAGAAAAGAAGATTGAATCATATGGTAGTTTTCATAGAGTTTGCATAAAAAGGGGCCCAAATAGACTCCAATCGACTAAATCCTTAGTATGGGGGGTTATGCAGGGATTGCATGGGGAGGACGACTTATAGGGCAAAGCCTTAGGGACTGTAAGGTCGAGAATCAGGATTCTTCTCAGGTGTCGGAGCCAAGATGTAGGATTTAGGGTTTAGAGTTGAGCGCTTCTTGCCTCGCAGCGACGATTTAAATGGCGCCCCTGCGCACCCAGGAGTGTGGGGGGGGAGTCATGTCTTGCGAAGGCACATCCCATATGAAAACTCCAGCAACCAGAATTGGTTTGTTGGTTTACTCTTTCCACCCTTGCTTACACAGGCATCCACCCTTTGCGAGGATGTGAGCGCTGGATGCCAGACTCTTTGCCCAGGCAGGCCCAAACCCTCCCAGTCCCGGGGCCCTGAGACGGATCTGGGATGTGGGAGACGGGGAGGCTGTTGGAAGTGCTCGGAGGCCCTGGGAGCGGGCGGGCCGGTCATAGGTGCAGCTCAGTTTGGGGTTTAGGGATCGGTGTTTCATTCATAGTGCTTCGCAGACGTTATGTCCTGGTATGAGATTGAGAATGACCATTCCTTGGGGGGGGGCGGGGTGGGGTGTTGCAGGATTTCATCATCAGGGGTAGTGGTATGACTTCACGAGCTGGATTGACATGCCGCCGCTTGGTGTATACGCACGGTTAGTTGACTCCACATGCACCCGGCAGGAAGGGCGCCGCAGAGCCACTATCTAGTTTTTTGGGGATAGTACCTCAGTAATGGAGAATTAATGGGGAAAGAAAATGGGTAGCAAAGCCCTCAACCCCTACCCCTATGGCCCTCAGACTAGGCCTTTGTGCCATGCAAGTGCTAAAGAAGTGCAACGACAGCAGGCTCCATCTTACCTAGCTGCTAAATTAAAGGCCCCAAGCCCCCACCCTGGCCGCTACTGTAGCTCTTGAGTTTACAAATGCAATCACCTGTAAGGTCCCAACCAACAGCTCCTACCGGCCCCAGCTTCGTGGGTCCTATCTGTGGGCCCTTAATTGGGTTTGTAGGATTTCGCCCATAGCTGCGAATTGATGAACCGCGCGTAAGGAATTTCGTGCGACGCTGCAAGATCTCGAAGTTCCCCTCATGGACGCGGAGAGCCTGCCTGTCCTGCTTATCTGGTTTAAAGGGTATATATTGGGGTTAAAATGGGATAATGGAAAAGAAAATGGAAACTATTTAGGGTTTAGGGTTTAGGGATTAGGGTTTAGGGTTATAGGATATGAGTAGTATTTTATTTGGGTGTTAGGACTCCATGGTGACGTGGTCGGTATTACACGTGTTCGTTGTACTGAACACCTGAATATGTTAAGGCAAATCTTTCAAACCTCTAAAGGCCCTTTAGTAGTTTGATCTACTGCGACTGCAACCATTTGAAAGACGTTACCTGCCTCGACTGCCACATGACAACTAGAAGAAGAGCAGCAGCAACAACTATCACATTTGTCATGACTGGCACATCTCCAGTAACAATAATAAAAATAACATGGAATAAATATTGTAAACAAAAATACTAGTAATATTCAATTCTGTCTTCACGAAACCCGTGGTCCGAGCGTTAAACTTTCAGCCAGATACGAGCCATATGCCCTGAAGACCAAGCCCTATGCCCGGCAAGGTTGGGTAGCGCCTGATCCTGTGCTGCTTCCATTCAGCTTTGCATGGTGTACTCTTGTACCGTTTACCTTACTGGTGCTTAGTAGGGAATAGGCGAGTAGAATCCCTATTATACAATATATTCCCTTATTCCCTACTAACCCCAGTAAGGTACATGTTTGGGTGGAACTGGAGCTCCTCCTGCCAGTCACAATGGTTAGAGCGATGCATGGGGTGGCTTTCTTCTAGGCTGACATCTGAAGGATGTTATACTAGGCAACTATAGTCCCCTTTAAGTAGATAGAATATGGGGTATATGGGGGTCATATTATAATATATCCAAAGCCATATTCTATCTACTTAAGGGGGGCTATAAGAGTTCAGGTGTCTTTTGAGATGAGACGTCTTCATTCTTCATCTTGCAACTTTCCCATCGATCACCTGGCATGTGTGTCATTCTTGGACTTGTTCGAAACCCTGAACCTGAGAAGCATGAAGGGACCAACAGAACCCCATCAGCCACATGATGTTCTCTGGGGTCTCCAAATCTGAGAGGCTCCTTGTTGACTACATGATGGCTCATAGTACGTGAAACTTGTGGGCGCACAGAATGAATTGGCACCCTGTCAGATATCAGTTTTTACGTAGCAGAAAGCTGAAGGATTAAACCATAAGCCCTATAAACACTAAACCGTAAGCCTTAAATCTCAAACCACAAAACCCTAAACCCTAAACCCTAAATCCAAAATCTATAAATCCTGAGAACCCAAAGTTGTCTGCGCCAGGCATGATGCGCCTCTTCGATAAAGACGGAAAAGGCAGCGTGACCTTTGACTTCTTGGTGAAAGGCTTGGTCAGCATGTGCCTTACCTTAAATGATGGGTTGCTACTATCATTATAATTAGTACTACTGTTTCTAATACGATTATTACTACTACTATTATTGCTACTATTTTTCACTCTTCTTACTACCATTTCGTTCCTTCTCCTAGGGGCGTTACAGACGCATGTGTTGCTTGAACCTAGGTTCATCTTACGATCTTACACGTTTGTTTAGATCTTTTGTTTAGTGCAGCCTCACTACATAGAACTTAAATTTTTGCAGCGTTCCGAGGAAAATCAACCTATGCGGTGCATCACAGACATACAAGCTTTTCACCCCACACCCTACAAACCCTAAAGTTGTGCTTTTGAGCCCCTTAATTAAGCTACCGACGTGACTGGGTTTGGGGCTTCGTCTTCAGAGGTATCTAGGGCCCCCAACTTTTGAGAGGTACTCTTTGTTGAAAGTCTTGTTTGTGTTTATAAAGCTGCGGCTTTGGACTCTAAGCCAACATCCTAAAGTAAACCTCAACCGCGACTCAGGCTGGATGACATCCACGATAAGGACACGGGCGGGTGGTGTGTAGCCCTAGAAGCCCACTTACCTACATATTGGGTTCCTGTCCTTAAGACCCTATATAAGTATATACTATCTGTAACCCAAGGACCTACTATATGGGTACCTGGGCTTCTAGGGTAGGGTTTGCGGTTGGAAGTGCTTTTCTTCAGGGAAGTTTTGGAGGGACCTTTCGCAAGGGATCCTTGGCTCCATCATACATGTACATACATAAATATGTGTATGTATGTATGTATGTATGTCTGTCTGTATGTATGTAGGTAGGTAGGTAGGTATGTATGTATGTGTGGCAGTTTCCGAAAAAAAGGGGAAGACCCCAAAATACTATCTATAACCCCTCTTATAGGTACACCCCGAAAAGGTATCACTAATTATGGGAAAATCCATATATACATATATGTATACATATCCCTGGGTCTTTAAGCAAGTTCTTTCGACTTGAGCGATTTTGCAGCCTCAGGATTGTATACCTTCAGGCTGCTGTCAGCTTCCAAAAATGGGGAAACCTACATTACACCCCAATATACTACAACCGTCTATCACGCATTTTTTGGGTGTGGGTTTTCAAAAAGGGGAACCCTGACTTTGGAAACTTCTATATACACTTGTTAGGGTTCAGGGTGAGCCCTCCCATCCAGCATTGATCAGCCCTGACAAATGTCGAGTCTTTCCCATGTTATCCTTAACCTGTTGGGACATGTTTTTCAGATGAGGGCTTGAGGCTATGGCAAGTATGATACCTGGTTGTCAAGAAGTAGGTACAGGTATTTCTGAAAATCCACAACCCTAGCCCTAAACCCTAAATCCTTGGCCCGAACCCTAAACCCTACACACTCTAGAATTCCCAAACAACCTGCCGTAGGATTGGACTTGTCTGGCCCTATGGAGCGAAGGTCTTCACATCCGCGCAGATGTGGTGGAGAGAAAGTGGGGATGCTTAGGGTTCAGGGTTTAGGGGTTCAGGGTTTAGGGGTTTGAGGGTTTAGGGGTTTTAGGGGTTTGGGGCTTTGGGGGTTTGGGGTTTAGGGGTTCAGGGTTTAGGGTTTAGGGGTTTAGGGCTTTTTTGGACGCAAGAGTCCAGATGCAAAAAAGGGCTTTTTTGGGTTTAGGGGTTCACGGCTTTAGGGTTTAGGGGTTTAGGATTTAGGGTAGTGTAGGGTCTGTTAGCTTACATACGCGCATCTAGGTGTACATTTTTGCTTAGCTATGTATATATATATATACACACATGCATCTGTAGCCCTTACAATAAGTGGGGAGTCGAGGAATCAAATGTAGTTTAGGGTTGAGAACTTAAGTAGAGGTTCCCTACTAACCAGTAAGTATGAAGTGCGGGTGTTCCAGCCAATTGAGGGTCCCTTGGTGAGTGTTCTGGGTGTCACATAGTGAGAAGTCTACAGGTTATATAGGGATATGTGCGAGGTTCGAAAGGATTCCTCAAGTTATGGACCGCTTTAAGGGGAGTCCATGTAATAAGGTCTACAGTATATTGGGGTCTATTTGGGGGCCCTAAACCCTAATAAAGCCTATTTGCGCAAACCCCTGTTCAGGGCTTAGTGTAAGTACAGGTCCTTCTTACATCCAGGTTCCTCTCATCTTGTATCCTATATTGGGAGCCAGAAGGGTCAAGGTGTTAGGGTTATGCCCAAATCTGAATGTAGTACTTTGATGTAGGCGAACTCAATCATGCGCCAAATGCGCATAGTGGTGTAAAAGCCCTGCACAATCTTCCTGTAGCACGTATAGACCCTATGCTGGAAGAACCCTAAACCCTGTAAGCATAAACTGCAATATGGCCCTTAACCCTTCGGGCCCTCATGGATCCTGTATATAGTTTATAAAGCCCTGTAGTTGGGACCTTGTAATTTATGCGAACTCCCAGGTGCGAGCTACTGTTGCAAGGAGTCCTTCGATTGCGTGGCCTGTTGGAGCCCTTGATCAACTGCAAGTGAAATTGGGTGCACTGTTGTAATTAGGCATTAGTGTTTAAGGTTTAGCGCTGGGGTTTCAAAGTGCAAGGTTCAGGGGTCTGGGTTTATGGTCTTTGGGGATCTAGGTTTAGGGCTAAGCGCTTTCACCTAGACAAAATGTACTGTCTAAGTTCTGCTTGTCCTGACGCGCAAAGGTTTGCAGGTGTTGTTGCGTATGTTAGCCCGAGAAGCAAGAGTATGATAGCGTCAGTCCGACAATCTTGACCCCTAAACCCTAAACTGCGCTACTTCCATCCCAAGCCTCATTGCTGCCCGGGCTGGAAGTACGGGCCGTGACAGACCCAAAACCTTAGGTGGACACCCAGCCAGGAATAGGGACTATAAGGGAGAATGGTAAATATATTGGGATCCTCCTATATTCCGATTATATCACTATTACCTGGTGGGGGGTCCACCGAACCTAGGCCCTAAGCCTAAACTCTATTGTAAACCCTCAGCCTAACCCTAAACCCTAAACCCTAAACCCTAAACTCTAACCCTAAACCCTAAGCCAGGAATATTGCTTGATGAGTCTGCAGCAGTTCATGGATAGCTTAGAGGCGACCACCCGACATTACCGGGCACTGCGCTACTGGGTTGCTGTTAGTGGTTTACGTTTAGGGTTCAGGTTTAGGGTTTAGGTTTAGGGTTCAGGTTTGGGGTTTAGGGTTTGGGGTTTCATGAGCTGAAGTAAACCCTAAACCCTAAACCCTAAACCCATGAAGTTCCTGTAGTAGGGAAAGCCTATTATATAGTATGCTCATATTATGGTAACCTAAATCCGAAGCATCCCCAAGCTCTATTAGCCCCAAGCCCTATATACCCATATGAGCCATGGCCTAAACTCCTTAAAGGGGATTATATAGGGAGTAGTATAGGGGTTAGTAAGGGAGATACTAGGAGTTTAGACCATGGTACATATACCCATAGTATGGTAACTTATTAAGTTCCTTAAAAGCAACCCAGGCTATGTCCGTTCTGCTCCGCCACCCATTGCCGCGTCCATCTATGAGGTCTTAAACATCAAGGCGGCCAGTTCAAGGTTTAGGGTTTAGGGCTTAGTGCTAAGGGTTTCAAGCTGGAGTTTTGGGCATAAGGGGAGAATCAAATGGAAAAGAACATGGACAATGAAATGGAACTGAGACTAGCTTAGTAATTTAGTTTAGCGGGAAGGGTTTCAAGTTGGAATGCTGCTATGAGGTTATCCAGCTGTCCATTTGGGATGTTGTAAGCCATGAGTTTTCATCCAGTCCCTTAACCTCAACCCAGGTGATGGATGAGGCGCCGATAGATGAAGCTGAAGCTTTCATTGGCTTCGCTCGGCGCTACATGGGCCCCAGTGATCGATTGGCTCCCCTGCCTGAACCCGCGCCGGACGTCCCGTTCCCGAATGTTGGCAAAACGCTGACAAACCATAAGGCTGTTCTTCCCCCAGCGCCTTGCAAGCCAGCTTTGTACAGAGCGAGATATCTCCAAGAGCAGGCTGCCACTGATGCCTACAATGCACGATACGACGTGAACGGCACGATGGGCGCTGAATCAGCCGAGTTCGCGAAGCTGAAGCAGGCTTTGCATGTTGACCCTGAGCTTCTGGAATGAGCGCCTCTGCTAAGCCTCTCTGGGAGTAGGCTGCCATATGAGCGGCCTCAAAGGTCCAAAGGATGACCTCCCGTCTCAAGAACTTTGGGTCATGGCAGAAGCACAAAGACTGACAAAGGCTGGCTGTCCGCTGTTTCCTTGTCAGCCTGGCAGCATATCAGAGCGTGTTCATGGAGTTGGCCATCCGTCCGTGTGGGGAGGCTGCGTGCAGAAAGCAAGAAGATGTAAGAAATCAGGACCAACTAAGCGCCTAAACCATCCTAAACCCCAAACTCCATAAAGGTACCCCTAATTTTGGGAGACCCCTAGACCCTAAACCATATATTATATCTCTTTATAACCCCTTTTTGCGGTAACCAGAAGTTGCTGAACTTGGTCCTTTATCAAATCTTTTCCTCCGCGCACACCTACGGTTCTCTCACAGCTGTAAAAGTAAGCCTTTCCCCTTATAAGATGACTATTCGATAGTCTTGTGGAAGCCGCCTCAATTGGGTAGATCCTTTACACTGGGAGCTTTTGGGTGTTCTCAAGTTTGGGGGAAGGGATTGTTAGAGGACGGCTCTTGTGAAAGGAGCTCTGCTGGTCATTCCCGTGGCTCGCACCTCAGCTTGGCCGACTGGTGTTTCAGGGAGAGGTCGGGGGAGTGGCTACCTACATGCGATCTGGGAAGGTAGTCGCAACATGACTACCCTAAACCCCTAAATCCTATAAGCCTTCCACCACTGCCCCTAAAACACCAGCAAGTTGGGGATGTCTGTACAAAATATGGGCTGTTTTTTGGGTTGGATTCCCAGAAACCCCTCAGCTTGAACTCTAGGACTCTAGGAATCATACTTAGATTTGGGCCTTTAGTCATACCTACATGCAGGTTTCCGAAAATTAGAGGTCCTTTTTGGGGGGTCCCTACACTATGGATTATACATCCTAACAGCCTCAGTTGTAAGGAGTTGCTACGCCCATCAACCTCCAAGTGAGTGCTACAGGCAAATGGTTTGGCAGCCGCGTTCGGATGGCGAATTGCGCCACAACCTTGGGTTTAGGGTTATGTGACGACAGAAGAAGAGCAGAGTAGCAATCAGGATGAAAAGGGGGGGTATAGTGAAAGAGGTGGGGATTTAAGAACTTTATTAGTGAGGTTTAATCGGGTTCTAGTAACCGCAACCCCACATTTCGGACACTATGATGATCATAGGATAGACATAAGGCCCCATTAGAGGAAGGCTACAACAGACTGATCTCAGAGCTGCCATGCACGGCAGTCAGAATGCCAGAGAGGCAGGAGAAAGAATGACGACCACTGAATATTCTTGAAAAATACGATCGGTAATACCAGGACCCATATGAGATATAGTCTAAACTCCTTAAAGGGGGTTATATAGGGGATTTTATAGGGGACTACTATGGGGGTTATTAGGGGGCATACTTGGAGTTTAGGCTATGGCACATACTAGTACAACCTGCACATCAACACCAACATAACATTAACGTAAGCTTCACACGCGTCCAGAAAGTCATGTTATCAATAGCGGTGGCATGTGGACCGGATTTAGAGTTCAGGGGTCGTAGTCCCCCTTAAGCGGATAGATTATGGCTTTGGGTATATTATACTAAGATCCCCATATACCCCATATTCTATCTACTTAAGGAGGACTTCTAGCTTCTAGGGAAAGCCTGGAAAACCCTCGCCTGGCTTAGGGAAAGTTACCGTTGTTGCCACTTTGTTTGTGCTGATTGTGACTGTTATAGAGGTTTGCTACTGGGTGGTGGCCTCATCCAAGTAATTCCATCATTGCCCTGCAGTAAGCACCAGACCTTGGGTCGTTCCCCTTTACAATAGCTGCAATAATTGTCTCTCAAAGGATCTTATTAAGGGGCTGCTATAGCTCCTAGTACCCATTATGGTAGCTGTTGCCCCAAATCCTGCTTTTTTGTAGTTCTCTTGCTGTTAGGTCACTCCCCCTTAAAGTAACAGCTACCCTAAGAGGAGGTATAATGGCCATTGATGAAAGCCCTTCAGGGGCAGTTGAAGTGACAAGGGACTTGGAGTCAGTTCCCCACCAAGGAATGGGTACCGCAGAGGGTTATTGTAGGTATAGCAAGGCCCAATTAACTCCATATTCAGGGGCTATTACTGTAGCGGGGATGGACCCAACAGGGACTTACCAGATATTTTCCCTATCGCCATTATCATTGTCATTGCCAGGCCATTCTGATGGCAATTTGTGCAAGAGGGGGGCCCCGAAAAAGACACCACTATGATCCTGTCGGGACTCCCAAAAGTATACCGCTAATTCTGGGAAACTTTAAACCCTGTACATTCTTATATACCCCTATATACGCCTTATGTCCCCCTTTAAAAGTACCCTCAATTAGGGGGAACTACCTTGCTTTATAGTTATCTGCGGGACTTTGCCGTCAGAAGCCTCAGGTACCAAAGCATTGGCGCCGCCAGCCACGAGCCTGGCTATATGAGCTACAGTCTAAACTCCTTAAGGGGGGTGATATAGGGTTTGGGGTTTAGGGTTGAGGGTTCGCACCAAAAATTTGCAGAATAATTGCCTTTTTTGGCTATATTCAGGGTTTTGGGTTATTGTTTTATTTACTTTTGCGGACCAGGTAGCCTAAACTCCTCAAAGGGGGTGATACAGGGGATTAGGGTTTAGGATTTAGGGTCTACATTCCTTAAAGGCGGATATAAGGAAGTATCGTAGGGGATAGGGGTTCTAAATTGGATACTAGGAGTTTGGACTATAGCTTATTTGTCAGTATTTTGGGTTTAGCTTGGGCCTTTCCGAGGGCTTTCGGGTTATGGGATTGTTTAGGGGTGTAAGTGGGTAAGTAGGGTATACATGTGCTTTTGGGTTTATAAGGTGTACAGTACGTTTCTGGCTTGAGGCCTAGAAAGGGCTCAAGGTTTCAGGTCTATTTTGAGCTGCGAAGCAGCCATCCTCGAGGTGTGAGGATTTAGGGTTTAGGATTTAGGGGTTTAGGGTTTAAGGTTTAGGGCTGACATCAGCCTCAGTCGAGGTTCTAAAGGGGATGACTTACCTTCAGGAGGGCATGTGGCAGTTTCCAGAAAGCCCAAAATACGAACGTCTCTTTTATGGGGATCCCAACAGGGGACCATACAGTAGTTTTCCATGTTCTTTTCCATTTTCCCTGTATGACCCCTATATATTCCCTATCGAAATGTAGTTGTTTCCATGTTCCTTTTCCATTATCCCAGAACAAAACCTAATTTCCGGAAACCCCATCTGTTTTCTGCAAGCCTAGGCACCGCTGGCACGAAGGCTTTGCATGTCTAAGCCTAGAAGGGAAAATTTCCGAGTTTGCTCACCAGATACTTGAAACCTGGAAGCTGATTGCGCACAATGCCCAAAAAATCGCCAAACCCTGAATCCCGAAAGCCCAAATCCCTAAACCAAGAATCATCCTCAACGCTAAACCCTGCCAACCTGCTGAGGCCTTGGATTTGTTGGTCTTTGGCAGGTCTTAGCAGCAGAAGAGCCTAGGAGGTGCCAGCTTTCTCTAGCGATACGGTAGATGTTGGGTACTGCCTCCACTCTGTAACAGTTGGATAACATTTCGAATATATGAGAGAGAGAGAGCCTTGAATTTGACCCCTAATATAGACGGTTACAGGGCGGGAGCAGTACCCAAGGTAGATGGAGGAAATCTTGCACTTGGAGGCTCCCTTGACTGTCTAAGTCACACGGGCTAGGGGGTTTATTTGATGGCTTCCTAAGGATGTAGGTAGACATACCAAACGAGAAGATCATCCAAGCACACCTTATGGCCCAACATAATACGTCGTACCGCATCCCAAGATATGAAGCTTATATATGGTGGTGTCATGGTTTCTCCATCCACCATAGCACGTGGGAATTTCTCAGGATATCTCCTGACTTATCCCTAGTAGTATAAATGCGCCATCGTTCAGCGTTCTCAGTCCCACCCCTTCCCGCCCTCATGGTATGGTATGGTCCCCATCTGGGGATTAGCCCTATCTAGAATCCCCCCAAGAACCATGAACTCTCCGTGAAACCTCTCTAAGCCCTTTTCAAAGCTGCTATAGACCCAGACCGCAGGTCCACACAGGGGTACCTCCAAAGGTCCCCAATAAAACTATAAAACCGGTATAAACCTCCAGAAGATTCTCTAATCTTTCATAAACCGTCTATCTACGAACCCCTCACTAAATTTGCCTGCTATAAAGTTCATGAAACCTATATAAACCCGCCACAACCCCTCTATCTCTACAGGCCCTGTATAGAACTCTATCAAGCCTGCTATGAATTAATGAATCCTCTACAAACCCTTAAACCAAAAACCGCTCTATAAACAAACACTATAAGCCTCTATAAGCCTAATCCAAACTTCTACATTTGGCGGTGTAGGTTAAACATATGCTCTATCATGGACCATTGGGCGGGGGAGGGGTGGACCATGAATGCTGTTGCACATACTGTCAGCAACCCGGTGACGAAACTGAAATTTGGCATCCACCTGTATGGGTCCGTGGTTTGTGCACAAAATTGCCGGATTCCCTTCTGGTGTTATTGCAAGGAGGACTCACGGTACCATGGGTATGAGTAATGAATCCAAACACGACATGAGTGGCACCAGGAGATAGGGGGAGCATGTGGGGTGCTAGGTGTTTTGTTGGGCAGGTGAGGCTTGCTTGGGGAAGGCATGGAAAGGGAAGGCAGCCACGGGTGGGCGTGGGGTCACCAGTTTTTTTTTGAAGTGTGCTCAGGTCAGCTCATGTGCCCTAGACCCTAGGTATAGAAGCAGTTGGATTATGGCTGATTTGCACTGTTCCTTCATTCGCGATGCTCCTGATTAGTCTTTTCATAGGGACCCAGGGAGCCATATTTTTCAAGGTATGCATTTTGTCTCGGGAAATTACAGTCTTGCTGAGCGGTCTAGCCTGATGATTCTGCTCCTGGTGCAGCTACGCATTGCTGCCCTTCGTCATGCACATGGCAATACCCAAACGAAATGCGCTGCGCAGCCTTTAGCATTTAATCAAGTATGCCAATGTGTTTGAGCCGGGTGCCTCTTGCCCCTGCGTCGGGATATTGTCAGGGGAGCATGGAAGGAGCACTTACCAGCGCATGTGTGCAGCTGTGTGAGACGGATCCTGTTGCAGCCAGAAGTGCCTGCAAAGTACTGCTGGCCATGGGGTCCCAACCATTGCAAGAAGCACCTTCACGCTTTGACCAGATACTGGCCCCTGTTCTCGCAAGGCTTTCTGAGCGGCCTCTGCCATGCCTGGGCTTGATGGAAGATGTGTTGAAGCTCCTCTTGGTATTGCTGGAAGGCGGGGATCCCGCAGTGCTCCCGACAAGCAAGCTGCAGCGCGTGTTTCCTCTAGTCTGTGAACGCCTCATGGGACTGCTAGAAGAACTGCGAGGCAAAACCTCCACAAGGTCAGGCGCCCAAGCTGAGGAGATGACCCTGCAAATCCTGCAGTCAGCTCAAGTCCTCATCGTCAGGTGGTGTTTGGATTCTTTTTGAATCGCTTTGCTGTTTGCTTAAAGGACCCCGAGGAACTGTCTTGAAATGTGCTTTAGTTGACATCCCTTTTCTTTGCAGAGGGGTTGCCAAGGCTTGTTTACAAGGCTCCAAGAACAACAAAGGTACGTTCCGAGCACAGAGAGTGAGGTGACACGCATGCAATTTGGATATTTGGCGCACCTGGCGATTCAGCTGCTCAACTCCGGAACTACATCGAAGAGCGCGCCGCGTGACCAGTCAATCGCCAGCATTTTGGTTCTGAAAGCCATGGCAGAGATCCAAGCTGCAGCAAATGTACTGGCCACTTTCTATCCTGGCGTGTGCACTGCGCTGGTGAAGCTTCTGTTGCAGGCAGGCAAGGAGTTCAAAGTGGCCTTCAAGATTGTGGTCGTCAGCTGTGGATGCTTGGGAGCTTGGATGCGAGCGGTATTGGGTAACGACGTGAACGCGGATCTGCTCGGTGAGGTGAAGATTCGCCCGCCTCTGACTCTGGAGGAATTGTTTCTCCAGCACAACAATCCCCAAAAAGGTCCCGACATGACAGTCGCTTCCGGAACAAAACAGGCTGCGGGTCAGAGCCCTGGCTCGCGTGGAGTCCTGCCTGCGCTACACCGAGACTCTGCTTGGCTGCGTGAGACGGGACGTCAAAGTTCGGACGCACTTGTGGCAGTTCTGCGTCAAGCAGAGACTGCCGCAGAAACCCTTTGGGCAGAAAAGGCATCGGTGCGGCAGGCCTTTCTCGATCTGTGCATCAGCGTCCTCAGGCACTGTGATCGGAGTGTTACTGGCGAGGCTGTTGAAGCTTGCTTTGAAGTTGTGCTGGCTGGCCTATCAGATGAATCGCCGGATGCGAAGCGTGCAGCTACCACGTTCATGTGCGACCTGCTGGCTGATAAGTATATGGGTGAGCAGTCTGCAAACATGCGAGGTCGCATACTAGAGTGGTTGGTGAAGCTTACCAAAGATCTCCAAGCGACGTCTTCCAAAGTTGAAGGAGCAAGACACGTACCAAAGCCGCTGGCCAGATTGGAAGGTCTCCTGGCTTTTATTGAGAGCCTGCCACGAAGCCACAGCGAGCAGCTTTCTTGGCAGACCATTCCGCCGACGAGCGTTGGTCAGCTGTTGGAGCCAGTGCTGCAGTCTTCACAGCTTGAAGCCTCTGGCTTGCAGAATCTGCTTAGCGACGAGAGGAGCCTCACTTCTGTCCCTGGCAGTTCTGTAAGCCATGCAGAGAGCTTGGTGAAGCTCTTTCCATACGAGCTAGAGGACACATACCAAAGCGGCGAGGAAGCTGGGGCTGACATTGCCGCATCCTGCAGACACCCTGAGGAAAGTAATCAAGTACAATCCTGGCTCTTAAGATCCTTGAAGCTGACGGGTGGCGACATCAGTCTGGCACGTCATCTTCAAAGAGTTCTTGGAAGATTAGGAAGCGCTGCTGGCTTCGAAGCCATGATGACCGCAATCTTCGAAGATGAGCAATGCGCCTGGCAACAGCAGATTAGTGTGGAAGAACCATTTCCCTTATCTCCGCCGGACCCAAGCGAATCGGTGCGCCTTGGTGGCGTCTCCCTTCAAAGGCGCAGTGCGGCCATGTTCGCACTGGCTGCGTTTCTTGAGCAAGGCGGAACGGATGCTGAGATGCACTTCCCAGCGCTTCCACCGTGGTTGGCTTTGCAATGTTTATCTCTGGGGCTTGCTGGCAGAGGCGGGCGTTTCCCAAACTTGATTTTAAAACATGTTTTGCGCTCCTTTTGTTCTTGAATTTGTAGCCTTACGCCCAAATCAAACCAAGGCAAAATCCCACTTCCTAAACCTCAAGCCTCTCCCTATGGCGTATTTAGAAAACCTCGCAGGTTCTTCTGGAGGGGCCAGCCCAGAGACAAGGTGTCTGGGCTGCACGTTGCGCTGCTTTGAGGGACTCCGGGGTGAGGGTTTAGGTGAGGTACTTGCGATGTAGCACATGTAAATGAACATGCTGTAATAGGCCTGCGGCAAGCTGTGCAAGTATTCCCGCAAGACACCTGGTAGTCCCTGAGTCGTGTGTTGGGTGAAGAGTGTGCCTCATTGTTGCTGTTTAGGTCGCAGACCCTAGTGGCAGAATACTCAGCACCCACAACACCCCGCAACCCGGTGGTGCTGTAAGCTCTAGATTCCTGGAAATCCGTAAGCCCGTGTAAGCCTTCAACTGCCAGAAGCCCTCCCCCCAGAGTAAACACCGCCAACCCCTAGTATTAGATAACTACTCCCTTTGTGGTACATGTACATTATCATAATATTTAGGGAATGTTTAATACTAGGGGGCTGAGGGGTTTAATATTATTCATATTAGGGGGAGGGCATTCAACCCCCTAAACCCCAAAGCTTATAACCCTATAACCCTAAACACTAAAAATCCTACACCCCAAACCCTATAACCCTAAACCCTATAACACTAAACCCTAACCTTAAAACCTTAAACCATATAACCTTATAACCCTAAACCCTAACCTTATAACGCTGATCCTTTAACGTTAAACCCTATAACCCTAAACCCTAAACCCTAAACGCTATAACCCTAAACCCTATAATCCTAAGACCCCTACAAGCATCCTGAGGCTGCATGTGCTTTCAGCACATGCCTTGATGGCCTCTGCGCTGCGAAGCCTTGCCAAGTGCGGGCAGTCCATTCACGTACAGGCGGCTGGGTGCTTAAGGATTCAGGGGTTTAGGGTTTTAGGGTTTAGGATTTTAGGGTTTAGGGTTATAGTCCCCCTACAGCAAAAGGGTTATAGTCCCCGTTAAGTAGATAGAATATGCCGAGAGCCATAGTCTATTTACGTAAGTGTCACTATAGAGTTTAGGATTCAGCTTTGGGGTTTGAGCTCCTGCATTGTGCAGTTGATCCCGGACACAAGCCTCAGTCCGGTGGCAACAGGGTTTAGTGTCTCTGAATTTGAGCCGGGCCAGCGGTATGAAGGGCCAACTGCAAAGCTAACTGCAGACAATGGAATGGAAACTGGAGCTATACCCAGCATCTGCGGGGGCCCCCAGAAACTCTCCACCACCCCCCGCAGTGATGGAATATGATAGATGTTCCCTACTTTGGGGTTGTACTCGTTTATGACACATTGAAAGGAGATGACAGTCTGAGGGTGGCAGCATGAGGGAGATGAGGTAGAAACAGCTCAAGTTACAACCAGGTTACGAACCTGTAGTCCGCGAATCCTCTCCCGGAAATACTTACAGCCCCCAACCCCTAGCATCATTTTTGTCCATTGTATCCCATTGTGGTGTACTACAATATATGAGGACTATATGATATTCACATCTCTTTAGGGTTTAGAGCTTAGGGTTTAGGTTAGTCAGTTGGCAGGTGATCGAAATTCCTATCTCCCCAAATGTCCATGATGCAACCTACCTTTCCCCTGCATGTTTCTTATGAACCTACGGGATCCCTAGGTTATAGTCCCAGTACAGAAGATAGAATATGAGGCTTTAAAAGGGGTTATATAGGGATAATGGAAAATAAAATGGAAGCTACTGTTTAGTGTTTAGGGTTTGGGGGATATAGTCCCCACTTAAGTAGATAGAATATGGGGTATATAGGGATCTTATTTTAAGATACCCAAAACCAGATGCTATCTACTTAAGGGGGACTGTACATTAGTACTAGTATTACTATGATTACTGGTATTACGAATATTACTTATGTTACTACTATGATGATCTTTACGATTATTACCAATATGATTATGTTTACTATGATTTCCCTATGAACCTTGGGATCAGCCCTTAGTTTGGTTGAGAATGCTATCAAGGTCAGGCGTCCTAAAAAGGGATCAGTACTTACTTAGCCAATAGAAGAACTTGAAACATGTTGGGCTTCCTTTTGGGCCTCTATGATACAGCTTAAACTTTTTTAGCCCCTGGTTATTGGGGAAGAGAATATAGTTTGGAGATGTAGCCAAGTAGTGGTTATGCTGTTATCATCCCCAAGACCCTTACAGGGTTCATGCAACTCGGTAACACGTTCCGAGCATCAACTGTGTTGCTGTTAAGGAACTTAATTCAAGTTACTATATTGGGGAAACCCTATTATTTACTTTACATACCCAATATGGTAGCTTGATTTAAGTTCCTTATTCTTGCGATCGCTGGCTCAAGACTGGACTGGAACACAATCTGAGCATGTAAATGTAGACCATCGTAGAGTGAGCTAGCCGTTAGTGTGACTGACGTCCAACAAGAAATGATGGGTTTCAAAATGAATTCAAGTTGGGTCTTCTTACGGACCCTAAACAGTAAACCCCAAACCCTAAGCCTTAGGCCCAGAATTCTCAAAGCATCAACTGAACTCATCACTCACCCATCTTACTGGTTCTTAGTAGGGAACAAGGCTACATTATAATCCCTATATCATAGTTTTCCCTATTCCCTACAAAGAACCACTAGGCCATCTTGCGCGCAGAGCTTGTTTCCAACATCGGTGTTTGTGCCTCCCAAACGTGTGTCACTACAGAAGAATATTCCTAAACCCTACACCCTATGTCAGTACAGACGAAAATTCCAAAAGATCCCAAAAAAGTGCTCCCCGTCCACGGGCTCTACGATGAACTCGTCCTCTCTCCTAAGAAATACCTACCTACCCCCTAGTGGTTTAAGGTTTCGGTTTAGGGTCCCCTCCTCAAATAAGGTTCTTAGGGGTGGCAGGGTCTAAAATTGGGGTTGATTAAGTCTTCCATGGCTTATAACCTGTGACCCTGAAAACTATACCCTGCCTACAGACACACAAACTAAAACCTTAATCCTGCACCTTCCGACCATATACCCGAAAACCAAAATCCGAAGTCAAAAAAGCCTTTTAGTTCCTCAGCTGAGCAGTATTCCTAATAGAGACCTTAAAACCTAAACCCCCAAGCACCACAACAGCAGCAGCCGAGTGCAGAGCCTCCTCAAACCTTAATCCCTAAACCCTCAGACAGGCTGGAGGGAAAGAAACCCTAGATCGCGATATGTCGTCCATATACGGCACTCTTTGTTTTTTACTACACATAGTATCCATCTGTCTATCTACGTATGACACATTTCAAGGGTGACAACGAGCAAACCTAGTTGATGTAGGGTTTCAACTCTGGGCCCCTAGTCCTGAGGTCCTGGCTCCAAACCCTTGCACCCTAAACCTGCGGTTAAGATGGATACTGAAACTCCTGCATTGTCCCCAGTACCGTATACCTTTGGAATTATGGTGATATAGTAGACAGAGGTCATGAAGGAGTCTTACTATCAACCATATCCCCCTAAAAATCCTATATTAAACACCAAAGTCCATGTTATTGTCCGTTGTCGTTTCCATTTGATTCTCAATTGTTTGAGGGTAATATCCCTAAACCCTGAATAGCAGTTTCGATGCTGTTTTCCATTGCCCCCTATGTATCCTCATAATTCCTATATCATCCTATATAACCCTATCTTCGGGTAATATCCCTAAAGCCTAATACCATCCTGTATTCCCTATACAAACCCCAAAGCAGGACTTAGATTTGAGAAAGCCCTAAGCCCTAGACCCTTTTCGTGGCCGAGGTGAGAAGAATCCTGAAAGCACTCCTAGAAGACTTGGGCAGCCACTCCTTCGTGATCTCCCTGGCTGGCCACAGTTTCTAGGTTAAGGATTTGGGGCTTGAGGTTTCGGGATTAGGGTATGGAGCTTTGAGATGTAGGGCTTGGAGATTGGGGCACAGAGGTTTTGGATGAAGGGCTTAAGATGTTAGCTGTGCTGCAGGGCTACTTACTGGTTGTAATTTGGGAAAGGAAGGGTGGATCCCTAGATTACTTTTTGGTGGTTCCGTTTTCTTTTCTATGCACTCCTACCCTACTGACAACCAGCAAGTTTCCCTAAACCCTAAAACCCTTTGGCTTTTGGGATGCACGTAGGCTTTGATGATTCGGCTGTAGGCATTCTTGCTTAGGGTTGTCGCTGAGGCATAGGGTGGTTGGGGCCTCGAGCTGGTGCCAAAACCTTCGGGCTTCGGGTTCCAGCGTTGTTTAGGGCCTGTGATTTATCCCATCGCCGCTACCATGAACAACACCCTCTCGCCCAGAAGTGTACCTACTATTTATTCCTCACCAGCATCAGATTCTGGGCAGATGTCCTACTAGGGGCACAACACGGTTCTTGGGGAGAAGGCGTTGCCACGAGGAAGAAAAGCCCTAGACCCTAATGCATACAGAAGCTTCAGACGAGGTACGTTGAGTCTGCTGCATGATCTGTTGGTGGAGGAAGGTACCCTAGAGGCCTCTGACTCCAAAGTGGCTTGGCCTTTGGATTTAAGTGTGTTGGGATGCGAGCTGTGAGGGTTTCGATATGTTCTTGGGGGCTTGTGGTTCGGCATTCGCAGTTTTAGCGTGTACAAAAGGATTTACGGCTCGGATTCCTCCAGGGCGCTGTAGCAGAGCCAGCAAACTTGTTAGAGGGTTGAAGGTTCGTTTAAGGAGCTTCAACCACACCTGTGTCATAGCGCTCAGGGCTTGTGCTTGAGGCAGCAGGAAGGGCAAGCCACTACGAACGTGCACCAGACAGTTCAGCTAACCGCACACGATTCGTGTCTAAACGCGCAGCACCCTGGTATTCGCGCAGTCGCAGTTTCAGTAGCCCTGGATGAAGGTCAGCTCGCTCTTGGCTAGCTACGCAGATTACTTGGCCGGGGACGTCTGCTTCCAGCTACGATTTGGCTCAGTGGGTTTGGATGACCGCGGCATCCATCCATCCCTGCCGCCATTGCTGGGTGCTGTTGTCCAGCACGCTAGCTGCTGCCTCAAGTTGTGGTAAGGCATCGGGAACTTAGGATTGTAACCCTGCAGTGTGTGCTTTGCATACAAATTGTTTGTTGCGGTGGCCCGGTCTTAGGTTTGGATATGACGCCATTCCTCGTTGATGTGGTGCATGCTCTGCTCACGACGGAGACCAGACTTGATGAGAGGCCACTTTGGGTTCTTCGAGTTCTGGCTTCCACTGTCCAACGGCTGGCGCTCGTGATCTCTACCAGGCGGGTGGAGGCCGCCGGGCCTGGGACACCCATCGGCCCGAGTCCACAAACAGAGGAGCAACTGGATGTTCAGCCCCTGCGAGCCGTCACAGCAGTCGCCGCATTCTTCTCGGGAGGCATGCTTTCTTGGAAATTGCCACGGCGCCGTGATGGATTTTTGCTGAATGATCTCGGATTGCGTCTGGATGAAGATGCAGAAGACTCCGAAGAAGCGGAGCAATCACAGGGGAATAGCAAAGCCAGTGGCAGGTACAGTCAGGAACGGCGAGTTGCTTCTAGTATCGTCATGTGGGCCAGGCATTTCCTACAATCGTCAGCTGCCGTTCCTCGCCATCTGGCGCATGTTTCCGTCATTCATGGCCTAACTGTACTGTCAACCCGGGTGAAGGATCTACTCCCACATGTGCACAGTGTCTGGCAACACATGGAGCCTGGATCACTGTTGAACAAATATGTTGCAAGTTCGTAGCGGGCAAGCTTAAAGCTGTTCGTGGTTCAGCCCTCGTAATTCCTGCCCCTAGGTAAGAGAGATCCTAATCGAGCAATAGCACGACCCATACATGAAAGGGACACGTGCATGTACCACTCTCTTTAGTATCGAGCGGTTCTGCCTAGCAATAGGGCCCGAAGAATATGAAGAATATGCGTTCTCAATAAGATTCCCACGGTTTGCAGGGCTGTGGTGACTACTTGACAAAGAGATGATCTGTATGCGACTTGGGCCCTCAAGCCAGAACGCATTAAACAGAGTCTCCAAGCAATGGCCTACAACTCTCTAAGCGGCCGCCGAAACACGTCAAGCTGGGTTGGTCATGAGGAGTTGAAATGAAGTTACTACAATGAGGAAACCCCATTATTTACGATGCATCCATATTATGGTAACTTAATTGTCGTTCCTTAACTAAAGAGGGTCTCCAGAATCAAGTGCGTGCAGCATGGCTTGTGGAATGCAATGCAAGATGATCCTTTAGCTTCATGTTGTCATCTGGGACCTTCTGAAACGACATTATGCCAAGCGAGAGCCCTACAATCCCTACAGAGTGATTGTATGGATGTCTCTCAAGATTGGCCATCCGGTATCCCTGATAGTTGCCCCACATAATCCCCGGACCGAACTACCTATACATCCTCTAATCCTCAAGGGTCTCCGAATTTTTTTGAAACTCCCACGAGCCTCCTATTTTCAGAATTGTTCAGAAATTCCTAGGCCCCTCCTGTTTCGTATCTCCCTAGGCTTCCAAAGCCCCAATTTGTCACTGAGGAGCCCTCCTTCAGTTCTGGGGTGCCAATGGCAGCACTGGCTGACAGCTGCGTGCTTCTTAAGCATATGGCGCGACTTTCCGGGGACGCCGGGCCGTGCTGTTGAGGGTTTAGGCGGGTTTTGGGGGGGTTAAGGGTCTAGAGGTTTGGGGATCTAGGGTGTCATTTTCCACGTATACCTTGCCTCATGCATGGAGTGCCTGCACATGCATTAGCCGTCTTCCGCTGCTGTAGCACTGATCAAGACGCATAGACGTCCAGGGTAGCGCCCCGTAGCAAAAAGGGTGTGCTCCGGACTGTGTTGCCCCGCTAGTGCAACGGCTTAGGTTAGTGTCCTTGGTAGCTCCGCACGCTTTAGCCAAACTTGTTAGGAGGTTCTCCACTGCTTGCTTTGTGACCGTGGTATTGGGCTAGTTCCGTATCATTTCACATAGGGGTTTGGGCAGTTCAGGGTTGACAGGCTTGAGATTGAAGTGTTGGGGGAGGGTGGGGGGCCCTAAAGCCTAGAGTCCCTAGAGCTTGGGGTTTACATACGCGGCTACGCAAGGCAAGGCACCCTAGGGTTGAAGGTTTAGGGTACCCTAGGGATTAGGGTGTTCTTGTAGTTCTGAATGGGAACCATTCAGGAGTAATCCCTACACCTAGTAGCTGAGTGGAGAACCTTTGATTTTTTGGGACAGATGCAGCCCTTTGAGAGCTAAAATGTGTATCTTTCGTGGGGAAGGAAACTTGGCAACTAACTACACAACCTTCGCGCAGCCTTCATTGGTATCCATATGGCTTATTTCACTTGACAGCATGCCCCCTATAAACCTAAAACCTTAGGAGGACCCCCCGCGCGGTGATAGGTATAGCAGGAATATAACAAGGACCCTAAGATAAGCCTCACCATCTCTGAAATTCATTATTGCTGGGTGGGGGGTTGAACTTACATCCTAAAAAGTATAAATATACATATATATACATGTATATATATATATATACACATTTATATGTATAATCCCCTATGTAACCCCTTTAAGGATTCCAGACTATAAGCCCTAAATCCTTGCTTATAAATCCTAACTTAAACCCTGAACCCTATCTATCTATCTATCTATCTATTTATCTAGAAACATATAAAATAGTGTGTGTATATATATATATATACATTTGTATCCCAGGACTTCATCCAACGTCGATTCCTCAGCGAGTGCTGGCCTGGCATCTGGGATCGTCTGAGGGCCACGCTTGCGGTTCAGAATTCACCGAAATGGCCACTGGATCTTTATTGGGGTTTAGGGGTTTGGGGGCTTAGGGTTCAGAATTCGCTGTTATGGCAGCCGCATACTGAGTTACTGGTTGCAGGTTTCGAATGAGGGTCTGAGTTGGGGTCAAGGGTGTAGGGCTCAGAATTTTCTATCTGGCCCTGTGATGCTGATGACGACGACGACGATGATGATGAAAGCCGGGAATTTTCGAAATTTACGCACCATCTTCGTGGCATTGGAATGTCGTGCTATGATGAGTACCCCAAAAGGGCCCAAAGGTTCAAAAGCGCCCAAAGAGTTGCATCATGAAGAACATTGACTCATCTAAGATGTAAAACTTGAAACATGGCAACCTGTCAATTCTTGGGAAGGTTTGCTACTTCGAGGTCCATGAGGGGGATGATAGTAAGCAGGCTTGCAAAACAAGTTGAAGTAGTTACTAAGCCCCATGAACCTTTGAGCAACTCTCTTAAGGAACTCCACCCATCCCTTAGGAGCACCCCACTGGTAGAGACCTCTTTTGCCTTCTCAGAAGGCAGGTCTGTCCTTAAGGGGGGTTTGGTTCTATTCCCATGATCCATTGTATGCCAATCATGGTCAAGGTCCCCTGAGCTGAAGATGCAGTGGGCTGCGCTGGACGCTATTGTCTTTCTTTCTGGAGACTCATCTTTGGTAAGAGGTATTTCGCAGGAGCTCATCGCCTTGGCCCTCAAATTCCTTGGGCCGAATGCCGCGAAGACGTTGCGCGAATTGGCGTGGACCTTGCTGGAGCAGATGGTGAAGGTTGACCCCGACTTGTTCTGGATGTACGTGCCTGGGTTCTCCTTAAACTTTCTGGGTTCTAGATTGTCATTGCTGCTATGCAGAAGTTCTGAAAGGCCTGAAGCGTAGACTTTAGACCAATAAATGCTTAGCCGTACATGGTAGTCTAAAAAAATACCGGGACCCCAATATAGACCCAAAATATCATGACCCCTGTTATAGGCACCATCCAAGGGTCACCCCTAATTTGTGGGAACCCTACCTTCAACTTGCACTATATATTCCCGACTTTCCTTTTGACTTTCCACTATCGGGTTTATCTATCCCTATACTACCCTCCATACCTCTGAAGCCTAAACCACTAAACCCCTAAACCCTCAACCCTAACTCCTAAAGCCTAAATCCCGAACCCCAAATCCCAAAAACCCTAAACCCTGAACCCCAAATCCAGGTACAGGGCCTGGAAGCATTGCCCCAAGGCCAGAACAATCTGGTTGGGCAGGGCAAGCTGTTGCTAGAGGAGGCCAGGGTCCCTTTGTGGGTAGGGCTCAGGGTTTCGGGGTTAGGGTCCCTTTGCGGGTACCTTTTTGATGGGATACAAGGGATATATAGGGATATGTAGGATTTCCAAAAATTAGGGGTATCATTTTGGGGGTCCCTATAATAAAGATGCTGTTTTGGGGTGGTCTATTGGGGCCCCCTTCTCTAGGGAAAGCACCTTATCAGGTTTAGGAGGCAGGGGCGTTGTGGTTTAGTTTCTTACCGGTGTAGGATGTTGGGCTTCGGGTTCGGTGTCTTGGGGAAAGGGGCTTACTTCGGGTTTCAAAGGATCTCTAAGCATGAGTCCCATGTTTTCGACATGGCACGCCCTAAGCCTTACCTTACCATCACATGCGAGTCTCTCAGTTCTCTCCTATAGAACCCTGAGCATGGAGATCCAGCAATCTCTTCAAAGTTTACATGGTAGGACCCCCAACATAGACCCCCCAAGTACTAGAATCCTTCTTATGGGGATGCCCAAGAAGGTCCCATTATTTTTGGAAGCTCCCACATGTGCCCCTGGGGCTTTAGAAAGGCAACCTCACCTTTTGGAACCAACCCTGTAATCTATCATTCCTTTATGTTTCGCATAGGCAGAACCCTTACGTCTCCAGGTGGCCACTGACTTGCTGCCGGAGGAAGCACGCGCAGTCGTTTGTTTTGTTCTTTTCAAGCTCCCTCGTAGCCTCAACCAAACCTAAGCCGAAACCAATTATTCCACGAAGAACTAAGAAGCAGCCATTAAGCGCAAACTTTGCAAGGAAACTGTCTGAAGTATAAGGTGCCAAGTTACCTAGACCATGAAAATCCCATCCCTGATATATTGCCTTCACTGGGAATCCCAAAAGCAAGCCATGTCGGAAGTGTGAATCGCGTCCCCCCTTGATGAAGCACTTCTCTCTCCCTTCTTCTAGTAATTTCCCCAGATTCTATAGTCCTCCAAATGCATGCAGGTGCGTATACAGTACTAGGGGTTATGGGGTAATAAGGGAGTCTCTGAAGATGGCACGAACCCGCAGCGGGCCCCCAAGATCATGTTGTAATCCCCACCTAGCCCTAGGGTCCTCAAAAGTGCAAACCTCAAATGAGGGGAAAGGACTACAATGCCGCCCGGCCCTGAGGACGTAGAACGGCTACGCGAACTGGTTGCGTCTGAAGACTCCCAGTCACTGAGCTGGCGGCTTCAGATGGTTTAGGGAGGTTAGGGATCAGGATTCAGAAAATTTATGATGCAGTAAGCTGAAGGTTTGGCGAAAGTCCTTTGGGAGTTGTACTTTCCTGACTGTTCTAGAGTTGGAGGACTCAGGTTTGGGGATGAGGGTCAGGGGCTAGGAAGTATGGGTCTAAGGCCTGAGAACAATGGGGGCCCTTGGTGGCCCAAAGTTAAGTAAGTAAAAGATGAAGTGGGCCCCCATTGAGCATGATGCAAGGCTTAGATTTGAAAAAGACTTGGCAACGCAGTGCCTACAGATCATCCCGTAGAGCCCCAAACCTCATAATAAGGCCCTGCAAGCTAACCTCTAGACTCCTTAGCCCTACACCCTGAAGCCTATGCATCGGCCTTAGGCCCTAAACAAAGAATGCACATATCTATATATATATAGACATACATAATTCATGTATAGAAAGATGTACGTATACATTCACACATGAAGACCTTAGTTGGACATTGGATCCTCCACTTCCTTTGGGCATCTCCAAGCCTTGCTCAGGCCATGGTGCGCCCGAGTGCCGCTTGGAGTAGGAGGAGACCTCTGGTCTTCTGCCCTTGCGCGGACGTTTCAAAAAGTGAAGTTCAGTTGCGTTAGAATGTTTCTTTTTGGGCGCGCTAGGCCTCAGTGCGCGCGGAGGCCTCGAAATCCCCACAAGTGCTGCCATAGAAAGCAGAGTCAGTCAAGGGCCTAGATGACGAAGCTACGAGCCGTGCACTGCAGGTGCTTCTACATCTCCAAAGCTGAGCTGGCCTTTTTGGAGGCCAATACCGTTAGGTCTTGCTGACACGATGATTTACAGTCTCCTCAGGTCCTCCCTTGAAAAAGCACCACCCCAAGCATCCAGAGGATCACACAGCGGGGTTACTGAGGAGCACATATGCTGAATATTATAGTCCGCAAAAGCCCATGACAACCACCAGCGCCTTGCAAGGCAAATGTCCCGAAGCCAAAGCCAAAATCGAGCAGCAGCCTGGGCCCGACGCGTGTCATGTCTGTGCCGGGGATATCAGCATTTCAAGTATTGCTACTGCCGGTAGTAGTACGAACACAAACTAGACTCGTACCAGTATTAGGACTGAAGGGCTAACTCCTACTCCTATTCCCACTCCCGCTCCAACTCCTACTCCGATTTATCCTAATCCTACTCCGACGGCGAATCCTCCTCCTCCGACTACTACTATTACTACCCACCACCACCACCACCACCACCACGACAACAACGACGACGACGACTACTCTACTACCTCGACTACTACTACTACTACTACTACTACTACTACTAATACTACTACTATTACTACTACTACTCCTACTCCTACTACTACTCCTACTACTGCTATTCCTCCTACTGCTGCTGCTGCTGCTACTGCTACTACTACTACTACTACTACTACTACTACTGCTCCTACTACTGCTGGTACTCCTACTGCTACTCCTATTGCTATTCCGATTCCTACTCCTCCTACTACTATTACTAACTCCTACTTCTCCTACTACTCCTCCTACTACTGCTACTCCCTCCTACTCCTGCTGCTACTCCTCCTGCTACCGCTGCCGTTACTCCTACTCCTCCTCCTCCTATTCCTACTCTTACTACTACTACTACTACTACTACTACTACTACCACCACCACGACGACGACGACTACTACTACTACTACTACTCCTACTCCTACTACTACTCCTACTACTGCTACTCCCTCCTACTCCTACTCCTGCTCCTCCTTCTTCTTCTGCTTCTACCACGACAACGAGGACGACGACGAAGAGTAGCAGTACTCCGCCGCCCACCGTCAGCACCAGCGCCGCTGCGGCAGCCGCGCTGCCACCACAAACACTGCGCCGCTGCAGCACAATGGCCAGGATCAGCTCTAGTATTAGCACCAGCCCCCACAACACCACCGTCGCCACCGCCGCCCTCATCGCCACCGCCACTGCCACCCTTACCATTTGTTACGTATTAGTGCTAGTGGCGTCCTTTCTGTGCTCGGAATTCTGGGTTCCTCCCATAACAGTAGCTCCTTCTGGGCAGTCTGTACAAGTGCGCTGGGGGGCAGTCAATGGAAACCCCATGTTTCAATCACGCTCATGCACGTGCGGTATGTGAAGCAGTCTGTCACCACTTAAGGCAAGGGGCAAGATCAAGCTAGCGCCGGCCAGAGCTTTTGGTTTGCAAGACCCATGACGGTGTTAGAGGCATTGCAGCACGGAGACTTTCTCAGGTTCTGGAATTTTGGGAGTGCCTATAGCCATAGCACTGCATCACAGCCTTTGGGCTGTTTTTCTCGTTGGGCTCCCAGCCGGAGAGAAGAGAGCATGGGAGACGGGTCAGTCTGTCTGTGTAGTCACTGCATGCAACAGGCGCACATTGCCTTCAACTATGGCGCGTGCCCTTGGAGGACAACAAGCGGCAGGAACAGACACCTGGGGGCGGATCTAACTAGAACTGATCACTGATCTCTGTCCGCGCCTCTCTTTGTCTCTGTCTCGCTGCGCCCCCTCTGTGCTCTGTCTCCCTTTTCATACCATCGTTTCTTCAGGGAGTTAGCAGGGCCGTCACCTACTTGCTTCAGGTACTATCTGACGAATTGGAGCAAGAGCCCTAGTACCGATACCGGGAAAATGCTGCAGCTTTGTAGCACGTGGGTTTCTCAGGGAGTGGTTGCTGTATGTTCATGTTGACTTGCTGTGCGCATGAATACCCATCAGGTGAGATCACCAGCATACAATGCAAACATAGCAGTGTGTGTGTGTGATATCAGGTCATAATGCAGTTAATCCTTCGTATGGAATCCATGGTGTCTTCATTCTCATCTTAGTTCAAAAAAGATTAGGACTGCTGGCATGTGTGCGCAGCTACGACCAAGTCTTGTAAACCCGCTAAACTTACTGGTGTTTCGTAGGGAAGAAGGGAATATACACCCGATGTATAATCCCTAAATATTCCCTGATTCCCTACTAATCCCCCCCATAAAGTAAACCCCCAGGTCCGACCTACTACAGCGAAGTGCTGAAGCTGAGCCCCGCGGAGGCAGGCTACGTCAGCATCAAGTCGGGTCCCTTCAGAGTTGAGGGGCAGGGTATCCATACTTACTGGTGGTAAGTAGGGAACAAGGGAATCTAAAAAGTGTTCTCCCTTATTCCTGATTATAACCACCAGAAATTCGACCCTCCCAAATCGAAGATGGAACCCCTTGCAGCCCCCATGTCAAGGGACAGCAGCCCACACCGCCCTCCCCGGTTCCATGTATCTAGAGGGTAGCTACGTACCTGGAAGTGTCCCTGATGCAGGCCAAGTACCACCTCATGTTGCCCCACGTGACCAACCTTGTTTGCAAGTCTTTGCGCCTTGTCTTTTCTCAAATTACGGTTTCTG